GTCAAGTCATCTGAGCGCAGGAGATTTGTGTTTGGGAAATAAACACCACATTGTGCTGGGATCCCCATCCTGGGCAGCCATAAGCACACACACTTTCTGCAGATCCATCTAGGAGCTGCACTAAGCCACTGCAGAACTAAGCAGAAACACACAGGGCTCGTTTCGCTAGACCTAGGAGACTTAAGAGAGTCAAAGACTGAAGAAAGTCAGCCTTGAGCAGAATTAATTGTTTAATCTCTGTGCCCAAACAACCCCAGCAGCCCAATCCGGGCAGCTTACCTACAGCATCCGCTCCCAGAGCCTGCAGCATGCGGCACTCGGCAATGGTTTCATAGCAGGGACCAGCCAGCAGACAGTACACTCCTTCTTGGATGAAGCTCAGAAAACCCAGCTCCTGCGCGCTCTCCCTTGCCAGGCTAAGCAGATCTTGTTCATAAGCATCTGACATGCAGGGAAACCTCACTCCAAACCTGCAAGGCAGTAAAGGGCACAGCCATGCTGATATTGCTACTGCTACCTTCCCTCCACCAGAGTTCAGGGATGCTCATCCTTTGGAGAAAAGGGAAAGGTTAAGGGCAGACCTGCCATGGATGCAATCTCTCTCATCCCAGCCTCGTCATTAGGTAATTCTGCCATCATGACATTCCTGCCAGATCTAATCACCCGAGACCCTCAGCATGCAGAGGTTATGGCTACTGGAAGGTCTGGCATTGCTTTTCTACTGCACAAAGCCTTCTGGAATGGTTTTTCCAAGGACTCCTGTCTCCAGGGAGCAATGATGGCCAGTTCTCTCTCCCCAATAACTGTCCATGGTGACTTTTAAACATTGCCCATCAGAGAGCCGCTGCCCTTTCCATCTCCCGCACAACACCCTGCAGAGAGGCTCCCTGTGACACCGAGTCCCAAAAGCTGCCCCAGTGAGGGACTTTAAGCCAGGCCTGGTGGAGCATCAGTTACTACATTTAAAGGCTCATCGCAGTAGGCAGCTTCTAAACCAGGCTTACAGCCAGGGATGCCTGTACCACAACAGCAAGGGCTGTCCTGTCACCACATTAACACCCACACACTTGAAACAGTTGGATGCACTGGACAAGTCATATGAGATTTGAGTCTTTGCCCTTTACTGTCTATGCTAGACCAGTTTGAAGGGCCTCAAGGAATGATGTTCTTGGGAAGGCAGATGAATCAAGCTTGCTAGTCAGAAGATGCATCCCAGGAAAGAGCATCCAAATTCTGGATTTGGTCCTGGCATGGCAAGAACACACCAAACAAGCTTGGAGATTCTTCTAGGACAGAAGTGCAATTCAGTTGCCCATTTGAGATACCCCAGTAAGTTCTGTCTGCCCCTCAGCTGCCCATCCAGAGCAAGTACACATCCTGTACATCTTACAGCACCTGCCAGCCCCAGAAAATGGATATTGGATACTCAGAGTGTCAGATGGTATTAGATGTCTACATTTAGGCAACAGCATCCCATTCCTACTCTTCTCCTTTGCAGGCAAATGGGGAGAGTAGCACATGGTGGAGCTCCAGGGGCATATTTTAGGTCACCTTCATCCTGTGCTTCAAAGCTGGGTCTCTTGCTTGCTTTGGATCTTAAGGTAACAGCTCGGTCCTGTTCCTGCTATTGACTCAAGGAGAGCAGAGGTAGATGGCCAAGACTGGTGTGCTGCTGCTGAGGAAATCTGGAAAATAACCTGCCAGCCATGCTCACCAACTCAGTTCAGGAGGAGTGGACCAGGTCCCTCATCTAGGCTATTAGAGCTCCTGCTTGTTTTCATGTTGTTCCAGCTGAATGTTTAAGGCAGTAGGTGGCTTATTTTATGTTTATAAACACTAAAGTGTTATATAAATAAAAACCAAACTTTCCCATCTGGTCTAAGGTAATGAGTATTCATCACCATGAAAACTGCTTCTCTCTCCTGAATGATGGTCAGCAATGCAGAAGTCCATCTCTAATTTATTAAATTCAGTCCTCAGATTCTTGCAGCATATTCCCTTTCCAGATCACTTCATTACCTCTAGTTTTACTCCATTGTGCTTAGATAAATCCTTCCCAGTGGCTGAGCCAGCTGATTTTAGGAGGAGTTTGCTCAGCTAAAGCTCTGCAAGACTTTGAAAGCTGATTCATAAAGACCTTTTGCCCATTTTGATGCCTTGGTCAGCACTACAAAAGTCACCGAGCACTGCAGTCTTCACCAGGAAGCTAGTTTTGAGAGGCAGTGCTGCCTTTGAATGCTGTCCCGATGCAGTTATTTTTGATTGGCGTTTCTCCTCTTCCAGAGCAATTATGCAAGTCCAGAGAGCTTTAAACATTCCTCCATGTGGCTTCTGTGCTTTAGATCATTCCTTCAACCCACATCAATACCTATGAAGATGTAAAGATGTTCCACTTCAGATGGGTACTGTCCTCTTGCCATTTGAATCGCAGAACAGTGTTTATTTCTGCTGAGGCAGTTGCTAGCACCTTTCAGATTTCTTCAGAAGCAGGAGCCAGATGTTGGCTACATCAGGAAGGAGCTAACTGGAAGCCGGGCAGACCACCTTACTCTCAGCCAGAACTTTCTTTTCAGAAAGATCTCAAGACAGTCCAGATGCTTGCCCTGCAAACACATCCATTTTTCAAGATGAAGGTACCAACCCAACAGATTTAACCATCTCGTTGTTTAAACTCATTCTTTGCCCAAACTACCACCTCCTTCACCACCTCCATTGCCTGTCCTCTGGCTTCACACAATTGGCTTTCATCTGGCTTCTCTCCTGCCAGCTTGGTTAGGAAGTAATTCTTGCTACTGTTATCTCCTTATCACAATCCAGCCTCTTTCTTTCCTGCCATATGGCTCTTGACAGCCCTGGATCTTTACTGCTTCTATGTTGACTTTCCCGACATTTGACGTGGTCTTCTTTGTTCAGCCTGAATTTCCAGTGGATGTGTCCTTTCTAGCCCCATCCGAGAGCCAAGAGGCTTCTTTTCGTAAACACTGGTCCATCTGGCATGTCCCCTCTCAGCACTATGACCTTGCTGGTGCTGGTTGCCTTCCACCCTACCAGTCTGATGGTGCCTTGGAAGGGTTTTAGGATCATAGACTACTTTGGGTTGGAGGGAAACTCAAGGTCTTTAGTCCAACCTCCTGCTCAAAGCAACTCTGTCCAGTGGCAACTGTAGTCCAGGGGTGAGGACGTGTTTTACAAGCACCTCTGCACCATCCATAGGGTAAAGATCCCGCTACACAGCTAGTACAGGAAACCTGATTTCCCAGCTCGACCAGCAGCAGGTCACTCTTGTGGATCTAGAGGTCTCCCAAGAGGCTGCCACGACAACCAGATCCCATCATACTGATGCCTTCAGTGAATACGTAATGTTAACAAAGGCACCCCAGGTTAATGACCTGGATACAAAAGTTAGAGTTTTTATCTTTGCTCTGCTACAAACTTACTGCCTGGCCTCTGTTGTATCAGTTCCATCACACCAGAAAGGGCTGTTGATAAATACAGTCTGGAGACACTGCAGTTCACCAGACTGCTCAATTAAGAGGAACTAGTAGAGAGAGCGCCTGACAAGAAGAGACAGCAGCGGCTCTCTTTAGCCGACAGT